AGCTTTGGATATTGTTTCCTCTCCTTTTGTTTTTCAGCTTTTGATTTTTCTGCTGTTTTTCTTAGTCTTCATGATGCTCTTACATCATACATCTGAGAACAGGTGAAATTGCATTTAGATGAAATTACACAGCTATAGAATCTATTTCTTACAGGATTTCTAAAAATCAATTATTTTAACTTGTTTTTTTATTTAGGATAACGGGTGGCATAAATCGATGCCCCTGGCCATTATTTTGATCTGTAAAAAATTATTAAGAAACATATAACCTGCCCTTGTTCTTCATGCGGATCTATCAAGAGGAAAACATAAAATCAGGTTGATTAAGGACAAAGATGAAAGAAAAAATCTTTACCTACGATGAACAGGTTTCCAAAGCACTGTAGGTTATGTTTTACTCTGGGGATAAAACCTTTAATATATGATCTCATTATCATTCTGGTTCTCTCCAAAACAAACTAAGTTGTAACAAGTTGAGTTTCTTTTCTGCAGTTAAACCTCAGCTGTGATTTAGGAGCCTCCACCCTGAGGATAGGCAGTTACATGAAAACAAAGGTGAGACAACGACTCCTTGACACGCAGATTCCTGGGCTTAAACTAAAAAGACATGTTGGTATTCGCAGAGTGGATGTTTTGCCAAAGGTGCAAAAGAAATTAAATTTGTGATGTGATTACTGCTGGGGGACAGATCAGCAGTCAAATCTGTTTACATCAGAGTGAAGATGCATTTCCGTTCACTGGGTGGGGTTTGGAATTACATTAGGAGTTCTTTATATCGAGTGGAGGCAGCCTTTAAAACCTAGATAACCGTGTTAACTACAGGGGGGCAATGACCTGACCAGAATCTATTGAATACAACTGGTGATTCTCTGCGATGGGTAGATTAATACATATTAATGGTAATAATGAAAGTAGGGACACATTTTGGTAGGAGTTCCTTTATTTAATGTTCTAGAAAGTTATTTAATGCTGAACTTGTTTTAAATCTAAGTAAAGCTGCAGGGATAAGTAAGATTTTAGTTACCGTAATTAAAACCTAAGGAATAGTATTTACCGATAATTGTCTTAAAAGAAAAGAGGATATTTGCTTTGCTGGTGAAAATTCACAGTCATCCAGGTCATAGTAATTCCAATAAAGTTAAAAAACAATCCATTGGACTTTGTTTCCAAGTTTGAAGACGTTTTGCTTCCCATCCAGGAAGCTTTTTCAATACAAAATGTCAGGAATGACGTTGAGTTTGAGGCTGTATTCAGTAGCTGAACAAAGCCTTGTTTTTGCTTAGAAAACATGCAAATTGAAGCGGACGAACGGGTCAACCCATTTGGAAGGGTGGTCGCTTTGCTTCAATTGAGTTAAACCCTTCCTGCTATAATCGCAACCCCAACCCCTTCACAGGGGAACAGAAGACCTCGCCTATTCAGCCAGGCCAACAATTCCCTTTAATGACACCCTTTTCAAAAACATAGACAGGTATTACTGGCTAACAAAAGAAGCCAACTGACCCCCATTCCAAAGGGGTGGACCTGTTCATCCATTTCTATTTGCATGCATGTTATCTAAGCAAAAACAAGGTTTTGTTGGGCTACTCTATAAAGCTCTGAAACTCAATGCTATTTCTGACATTTTGAATTGGAAAAAGCTTCCTGGATAGGAAGCAAAACGTCTTCAAACTTAGAAACAAAGTCAAGGGGAATGTTTTTTTTTTTGGTATTATATTTGCTTTTCAGTCTAATGGTGAAAGACAGGTTGGTGCAATTAATCAATTATTAAATGAGAAATTCCACAAATAAACCTTTACTGGGAAATCTTTAAGTATTTTCATTTATGGCATCTACTAGAACACAATCAGATAGTATCACTGTTGCCTTGTAACCAGAAGGTAGATTTGAATCCAAGCCTGGGTTCTTTCTGCTTGGATTTTGAATGTTCTCCCTGTGCATGCCTGGGTTCTCCCTGGGTACTCTAGCTTCAATGCATGGTCCAAAAACATCTCCACTCACTCTTGGATAGCTGTTTTTCCTGTTGGTTTTAGTTGTCCTGTGATGGACTGCTGATTTGTGCAGGGTGTGCCTGGCATCTCATCCCAAGCATACCCTGCAAGGAGGAGCAACAATAGATAATGGAAGGTATGATTGAAAGACACATTAAGCACTGCAGCCCATCCAGTTCATAATACCAATAACATCATACTTTGTTTTACTTGTTCTACAATAGCAGTGTTGTCTAAGACACAAACCAGCTATTTTCTCCCTGTGCTTTTCCCAAAATGCAGATACATTGGCGAGGGTTGTGTTAGGAGGTGGAACCGACGAAGAACTTGAGACAAAACAAATATGCAAATCACCAAAAAGACTGCCACACAGGATTGGTTGAAGCTGAGGCTGAACAGCAACCGCCTCTGGTGCTGTTTGCCAGGGAGGGAAGGAAGGAAATTGGACTGTGTATGCTGACTGGCGAGGAGGAGAGGAAAGCATGTCAGGAGGCAACAAGAGAAGAGGGAAGACAGGAGTGGAGAGGTTAGATAAGAGACTTTGATGCACCAACAAATTTAGGTAAAGGCAGAGAGCTGGCAGAGATGATGGAGAGAGGGAAGGTAAATCTACGTGTACAGGAGACCAGATGGAAGTGAACAAGGCCGGGAGCATCAGAGGCAGTTTTAAACTGCTACCATGGTACAGAAAGAAAGAGACTTTAGCCTCTAAATGACCAGTCCTGCACATGAAATATACCTAAAAATATTAAAGAACACTTACGACTATGGAGTGTTTTATAAAGTATGATGAAAAAAAGGACATAAAACCTTTTAATGAAATATATGAATGGAAACAAGGTGTTTTTGACAACAAGATGTACGGCATTATGATCTTAACAATTACATTTTACCAGCAGTGAGGAATGGGATAAACTGCAGGTTCTCTGCAACCCAAATGGGATGAAACTGATCTGGAAAATACTGCATTTTTGCTGTTTTTGTTCTATTTAAAAATTTGCTTAACATCTAATGAAGATTGTTACAAGAAAGAAAGAAAGATTAACATTAGCATGACATCTTATGATATTTATGAAGGTGTTGTTTTTAATAAAATATTTTTTCTGTCCTTATAGAACGTGCAATCGCTATTGTCATTTATATTTTTATATATCTGGCTGTGAACACTTTAAGTTCATTAAATTGGGTAAATGCTAAACAAATTTTGAGATTGTTAAAGGTAAATTTTCAACAGAAATATTTGCAATGTTTGTATCTGCTGGGCAGTTTTGAAATGGATTTTCTCACATCCTCTATTTTCATTATTGTGTTTTTGTAAATGTGACCATTAGAGGGGGGCTATGTTGGTGCGCAGTGTTGCGGGGTACGGTGGGGGAGTTTTCCATTTCTGGGTAAGGAAAGCCTTGCAGTCAACTAACTCCCCCTCACCTTTCTCCATGTCATGACAGGTATCTCAAGGAGGAGTGTGGAAATTACATTCCCCTGACAAAGCCCTGCTTCTGCAAAACACATTTGAGTTAAGGCAGGAAAAAAAACACACATACCTGAACCAGGAGCGATTGTAGTTTCATTTTAGACAAATCAGATTTAGCACTTTGAGCTGAAAAGGTGACGTTGTGTCACTCCAATAATTAGGCAGTTGTAGGTAGGCACACATTATGGAATTAATATCTATACTCCTTAGGTGATCCAAGAGCTGAGGGTGAAACTAGAGCTTTACTCAGATCCTAACTGGCTTATCTTTAAATAATAAGAGGAGGCGGGCGGCATTGTGGTTCAATGATAGGTTTTAATTACATTCTAAAAACAATAATTGCACTGGACCAACAACTGGACGGTAAAATAAAAACAATCAGGACAATATCTGTAGCCATCTTATTTAGGTCCCTCTGGGAGTGACTGTCAGACACACGGTGCTTGGTTTGGCTGTGGAAATGAACAACAGCTGTTTGTACAGCAGCAAACAGAAACCCCAACTTTCAACTGTGGCAAATGAGTAACAGAAACCAGTCCAAGAAAACCTTATGGGTTTTAATACAATTCTTGAGGTTCAACCTGCATCATTTCAGAAAAGCTTACAGTATGGGAGAGAGGAAGCTGCAACAAAGGCAGACAGAGTGAGAGAGGCATCAAAGAAAAGAGGGCAAGCTGAAAACAGCTCCACATGTAAGCAGAAGCAAACATGCAGGCAAAATAATGGGGTTTGAAACAGGCGAACTTTAAATACTCCAAAGTCAAAACAACACGATAGTTAAACCTCTTTTAGATCTCTGTTAAATAACATATCTGTGTGATTTACATCTCTATAGCATCTTATATTATATTAGAATCATATCTGTAACACCAGTAATACCTGAAGTGAGCCCTATTAACCTTTTACTGTGACTCACACTGTTCAACCAGAGCTGCATTGTAAAATGTGCAAAGTTTAATCATTTCAACTGAGAAAATGTTGACTCTCAAATCAACCCTGATTAGGTTATAAAAGACTTTACCACAGCGATCTTTAACAAATGTACAGTACGACATAACGTAATAATTAATTTGAGTAATTATAAAGAGATTTCTTTATTTACTGTTATAAACAAACACTATAAATACAGCTGCACGAAATATTCGGCTAATTCAAAAACCTCACTATTTTTACCCTGGTTGGCAATGGTTAGACTTTCCTGGTGGAAAGTAAAAATTACGATATTTTACCAAAAAGCGAATGCAACACAGGCTTTTAAAGGGGCTAACCATAACACTCCTCTGTGACGGATGTGTTAAATATGTAGGAATCTTCAAATTTAGTTAATTTCAGTCGGAGTAAAGTGATAACTATGAAAATGAAGTCAAAGGAAGCAGAGAGGATATTAAAATATCCAAACGAATGCCTCTTTCTAATAACAGCTTGCTAGACATATGTATCACTTCTCTAGGTTTGGACAAAAGCTACAGTCTGCCAAAGGAAGTGGCACTGGAACTGTTTTGGGTTGTTGTTTATTTTGACCTTACCGGTAATTTGCTGAGAAAGTGAGCTGCTCAGAAGAGGACTTCCTCAGATACCTGAATGGTTGAACGTGTTACAGCAGAGTTGATCAGTTCCATCCAAGCTTTCAGTTTCTGTCATAAGAACATGTTGTGCTTTGAAATCTAAGAGTTAAGGTGAGCGTCTACTTTTTCAACAGGAATAGAGAGACAGAGAAGAAGCTGTTCTATTAAGGCTTAATTCCTGATAAAAGATTATAAGCACAGTGGAAAATGTCAACCTCAAACCAATATCCCTTTGTTTTGAATTGGCAAATCCCTGTTGTACAGCAACTGCTCTGCAGCAGGAACACTTTGAAGCAACCTCTGCTGCTGGTTCACACATCATTAGTAGCTGCTCATAGCCGGAAGGACAAAAAATATTTAGAATGCCAGTAATTATACTTTTAAAAGAAAATTTGGAGTGAGCTAAAATTCAGAATTGGCAGATGAGAGCTTTAATAATATATATATTGAAAATCTCCAAATCTCAGACCTTACATTTTAATTTTAAGGAAAGTTGATGATTAAGTGGTGCTCACTTATGAAATCTTAGAATATCCAGAGTATATATTTAAATATATATATATATAATTTCTACGGCATCCATCCATCCATTTTATTTTTTTCTGACACGCTTAATTAAATTAAAGAATTAATTTAAATAGTGAGATGAAACTTACAGTAATGAAGCTCATCTATCCTTCTTCAAAAATGCAAAAGGGGCCATCAGTATGTTAAGGTTATTAAGAAATAAGACCCAAGAGGAGTAAAACTATCAAGCTTTTCTAATTTATATGCTTTAACTTGAACCAGGAGTTAGTTTTGATGCCAACTCTCTGCTTGCCTTGACTTCCTACCACTTGCGCTAATATTAGCAGGAGAGTCAACAGGCACAACGCCTCCAAATCAACAGTGTTACTTGGACTACCATTCAGGGAGATCCTCAAATTCCAAGTTTATAATAAAAAAATAAAAAAATCATGCTGAAATCGTTAATACACATAGTAACCAGATAAACGTCCTCTGCCAAAGTAGCTGGCAGTGAAAACTGCCTAAGTGGGAAGTGCCAAAGCTGTTGGCACATGAACAGTAGACGATCAGTCAAAGTGTTGGTGAACGCAGAAGGCGTTTGGCTTTAAAGATGCAGCTCACAAAGTGTTTTTTTCTTCTTTTTTTTAACAGCTTTTGGTCGGAAAAAAAAGACACTGACCATGCTACAGTAACCACGGTAACGTGACATAATTTAAATGTAGAACAAGGAGCGTGTTCGGGATGGGAAAAGTAATTTCTGTTTGTCTCTACAGCTTTGAGGTCAGACCGTTGTACATGTCAGCCCGGAGTCTCGCCCACTCTTTCACCCTCTGGACGGAGCTTTTCTCTCGGGTGAGGAGACGAGCAACCTTCTTCAGCTTTTCCTCATTCCTCTCCAGGTAACGGATGCCCTCAGCCTGCAGCATGTTGAGCTTCTCCAGCCGGCTTTCATCCATGGAGATTTCTTCATTAAGGAAGGGGTTGAAGCGGAAGTAGGTGTTGGGAGGGAGGAAAGCGTCCAGCATGGCGTGAACCTCTGGGGGACAGAAGCACACAGAATTAGCCCCTATTTAAGGCAGAAACCAATGAGCATACTTTCAACCCAGTAATAGCTTTAGTATGTGCAAACATTCAACAGCTGCGTTTGGAGAGAAAAGTACATGCAAAGCCAAATTCTGTCTGTCAGGACTGTGACAGTATTTAACGTGTCACTGAGTGAGCACTTGGAGCTGAAAGCCGGAGGTATGTCCAAAGGAAAACGTCTTACTCATCAGCCATAGCTGTCTCCATCTGCACTGCATGACTGCTTTTAAAATCAACAGCTTTTTTGTCCATACAAACAGGCAGCAGAAAAAAACATTGAAACTGTAAATAAAGCCTAATGGATCCAGAGCGATTCGAGTATTTATTTCTGTATGTGTTACCCCTGTAGGTCAGGAAGCTAGATTGACATTATGAAAGCTGCTCTGCTCTGAGGGTTCACAACATGGCAAAAGAGTTGCTGACGTTAAGTGTCAAAACCAATCAGTCTTAAAACGTTTAACTCTGAAAAAAAAAAAAAAAAAAACACTGCTTCATAGACTGTTGTTTTCAATCGAAGATAACCGGGCCTTGCTAGGATTTACCCACCCTGGTCAAGGCCTGGAAATCTCGAAATCTTCAACATTTTAAATAATGGCATTTTAAATAATAACACAGAAGTACAGCAATAATAATCAAGCATAACTTTCTGAATGTGACGGGCGCCGCCATTTTGATTAGCTTGATTCCCTCCTTCTTCGTCTTCTTCTTGTTTTTTATGGCAGTTGGCAAATAACTTTTGGTGCATTACTGTCACCAACTGCTTGATTTCCTCCTTCAATACTGGCAGTAATACCGCAGATCGTCACTAGGAGGCGAGGAGTCAAGGAACCGAGATAGCGTGATGTGTAAACGGTCGTCAGAACCGAGTTCGGCCTGGTTAACTGATCCGAGCTTTATGTATACATAAAAAAGCAAGTGTTGTAAATGTCCATCAGAAGACATTGATAGGGCCCTATAATTTCCGCGATCACAGAATCGTGGAATTGGCGAATTAACGCGGAATCTAGTGTAAACGCGGAATTTCTACACTTGAAATGAAATTCTGTTTTTGTGTGGGAGAAGAACGTACGTCGGGGGGAAATGCACACCGGGGGACGCAAATCTGGGCAACACAACCCCTCCCGCTCCATTATTACCGCTTACTCTCCCCCATCAAAACATTGAAAAAATGGCGAAGTGGCTCTCCACAGCTCCGCTTTCTGCATAAAAATTTGAGAAACACGATGCTAAGCCCTGAGTACAGAGCTGAGCAGTTCCCTTGTGACTTTTACGTGTCAGTGAAATAAATTTAAGGTCATTTCTATTTTATTTGTGTACATTTTAATCATTAACATTAAAAGCACTTTTTTTTTTACGACTGAAATAACAGTAAAGGGTAAAAAAACTGAATTTGCAAAAATTAAAACGGAAAAAACAGAATTTTCAAAAATTAAAACGGAAAAAACTGAATTTGGGAAAAAATAAAACGGAATTTGGGAAAAAATAAAACGGATTTTATAGGGCCCTACATGGATCATTCAGTTATTTTTGTATCCATGTTGTTTGGGGTTTGCGTCATTCCACATCTTCCACTGTGACTGCCTCAACTACAGATATGGTGCTGCGCTGCACAGCAAACAGGGCTCGACAGCGCTTTCTGCCAGAGTGGCGGTGCAAAGGTGTTTTATGTACATTTTATTTTATTTTTTTTTGTCGATACTAGGAACTGAAAGATCAATATTATATTGGGCAGTGGAAAATCACGATATATT